GCGCGGGGGCGGGGCCTGACGGCGCGTGGCCGAGCTCGGTTGCTTAGCGTGCCTCACTAACTATCATTCCGTTCTTCCAGGTCAATGATGCCGTAGGAAGGGACTGGCCCTGGATCTATTTTGTTACACTAATCATCATAGGGTCATTTTTTGTACTAAACTTGGTTCTCGGTGTTCTTAGCGGGTAAGCAGGACCAAGGAAAAAGGTCTTTGATTTTTCCATTTATTTTTATTTATTCTTTCTGCTATTCCTGGCTCTATTCTTTTTCTGGCTCTGATGAACCTGGGATAAGGGGTCACCCTGGGAGCCTTGAAGTGAATGTCCTTGGCCTGGCTGGGTAAAGCGTGAAAGGTGCAAGAATCAGTCCAGTGCTTTGGGCTGTGCACAATGGCCACGGACACGTGGCTTCTCCCAGGGATGCGGAGTCCGGCCTGTCTCCTGCCAGGTCTTCCAGCCCCTCCGACTCGAGCACTGTTCCAGTAGCGGGCACTCCTCCCTGTGCCTGAACGACTGCAGCTGCAGGAGCAGGTGCTGTGACCCTGGAGTGGGCAGACTGTCAGCGGGACCGGAGGGAGGGCTTAGTGACTGCCCTTCCACATACGTAACAGCCTTGCATACAGGTACTCGCCCGATGCCTTCCTTAGCCAGTCACAGCTTGACAGGCTCAGAGTAAAGATTTCAGACTGCTTTTAAGTGGTCCACAGGCCAGGGTAGGAGGGGTTTGGTTTATAATGTCAATAAACACATTCCGATTGGCCTAGCAAGTGATTAAGGTGCTAGATCCCACATGACCAGCTGCACGGTTCAAGTTCCAGACCAGGCGGCTTGAAAAACATGCTAGGCACGTGTGTGTGTGTGTGCCCCAAATCCCAAGAGGAGAACAGAAGAGAAAGGGACTGTGGCATGGCATCCCCGCCAGGGAGGGTGATTTTTCTCTCTCTCTCTCTTCAGTGAGCACACATGCCCTGTGTGTGTGTGTGGGGGGGGGCGCTAAAAAATTAAAAATATTCAATTCTCTTTAGTTCTGTTTCACGGCTGAGCAGGTTGTCTCCGAACGGAAGGGACACTTAGCTGTTAAAATCATAAATTATTTGAGAACAGAGGACATGGAATATATTTGCCTTTAAATTTATCTATTTGCCATGAGTCTCAAGTCCCCGAGTTCAGCCCTTGCTCAGATGAAAGCAAAAGCGGCAAAGTTAGTGTATAATTGGGGTGTGGAACAGCCCAGAGTGTGGGCACCTGTTCACCGTGGAAGCTCCCTCGGCCCTCTACCTTCTTCTGAAGTCCACCCAGCCATGCCAAGGCCTGACACTAAATGCTCCTGCAGTCTCAGGGGTGACCCACTCTGCTACCTTTGCTCTGTGTGGGAGGGGGCACCCATTTTCCGCTCTGCTGAGACAGGTCACCTGCTTTGAGTAGTCTTCTCTAGACAGCTAGAGCCTGGCAGAAACTGTGACATCAGGACAGCATCGCTCTTATTCTCGCTCTGTATGAACCTGGGAGCGGCTTCCCCCGCCTGCAGCAGCTCACGCAATCAGGCGCGTCGGGTTCAGTCCTTGGAACTGGGTGGGGGATAGTCTGCTCCATCATCTCCCTTCCCTGTCAGGGGCTTGTTAGTGACATCCCGTCACCAACATGAAGCCACACAGGACCAGGGGAGATTAAACAATGATGAGCCCCTGGTTAGCTGCCTGGAGGGTAGTGGGATTTTCATTTTTGTGTTTCAACACAAGAAAATGCCCTTATGTTTATATGTGAGTCTCTAAGGAAAGCATTAAGAACATCAAGCTCTTGCCCTCACGTGAGACAGAGTTTGGATGCCCCAGCTCCGTACCTTTTGGATGCATAACGTCAGATGTTACCTTTTAACGCTCCGTTTCCCCATTGGAACATGTGAAGATAACCGTGGTGGTGGTGGCGACAGAGTGAGATCACTCACTAACGCACTTGGATCGATAGTTAGTGCTCAGCGATGTTACCAGCATTGCAATGAGTATTATTTCCTTGGTGGCTGCCGTAACTGGAATTAATGAGTTGAGGCATCAAATGTTAGACCTTCTCAACTTTTCATTGTAAAGTGAGGCGAGCGAAACCAGAGATATTAATGACATATGTCATGTCACTTGACTGGCAAGTAGCAGAACGAGGACAGAACTCAGGCATAGTCCCGGTCTCACCTTCCCATCACTGCCCAGTAGCCAGAGCACCAAACCTTTAAAAAAGGCAAGGCAATTTCACTGTTTTCCCCAGAGACTGGGAACCAGATCTGAGCAAAGTCCAGTCTCCCCCTGAGAATATGAAATAGGGTACAAGTTCTAGACAGCAAATACCCCTCCTTCAGCAGGCAGAGGAGCTGCCGCAGTCACGCTCGGGCCCCCCAGAGGAGCTATCTCATGTCAAAGCAGAGAAGCCAGTGACAGAGGATGCTGACATCAGAGAAAAAGTCATTTTGAAGGCTGTGTCTTGGACTGACTTAGTCCCTATGAGACAGAGTGTGTGAAAACACCTCACCTAAAACTTGGACTTAGTAATACTCAAAAATGCTAGGTGACTCAGAACGTGAGCACGATGGCTATTTGACTTCTGAACCAGCGTGTCTTGGGGTCCATGCATTTCTTGTAGACCTTCCCAGCACCTGCTCCCAGCCCATCCGTGGAGCTGTAGTCAGCTCCTCGTAGGCCCAGGGTCATTGACGGAATATCCGCCAGGCCTTTTCAGGCCTCTGGGAAGCTCTCTGCTCTGGCCAAGAGGTATCTGTGGGAACTCCCACCCTGGTTTAAGGAAGGCTCTCCTAATTTGCCAAGGGCTGGCCACTCTGAATGAGCTGCTGTAGCCTACACGATGACAAAAGCTAGACTCATGGTTCTATTGACCGACCACACAGTGGCAACAGTTTCAAGTCACCATCTTGATTAGTCAGGACAGTAGTCCAACAGTCATCACAGGAATGCAGCAAACACCCACTTTTCATCAGTCAACTTCTGAGGAAGCCAGCTTTCCAGATGCATTCAAAAAATTCTCAGTACTCTGTGAAATTCACAGACACAATGAAAAGCCACTGCCATTCTGTCTCGAGCTCGGGGCCAGATGCTGTAGGTGTGCTAGCTCACTGAGTGCTCCCAGCAGCTCTATGAGCTCGCATCCCCATTCTGCAGGAAAAAAGTGAGGCTTAGATGAGAGACCCTCAGCTCTCACAGGTGGGACATGGAGGACCCCAGGCTGAGCCCCTCTGCCAGAGAGCCCATAGCGCCTATGCCAGTCACCGTGGTGTACTATCCCCAGCCGACTAATTGGTTAATTCCATGTTCTTAAATTGTATTCACGAGGGGAGGAGTGAAAAGCAGAGACCCTGGCAGGAAGGGCAAGAGGTAGAGGCAGGCAGCAGGAGCAGTATGTAGCAGTCTGCTGGAAACAGTCCAGGGAGACGTGGCAGACATATTACCCAAAAGGTGTGGAGGACAGGGCATTTTAGAAGGGGGGCTGGCAGCCCTGAAAATCTGAATGGTCCTGAGAAGAGAGCAGAACCACGAAGTCAATAGCTCTGCCATCTTGATGCATTCTGGGACTGGGCTGTGGGCAAGTCTGTATCCATCAATTAAGGCTGATATTATTTTACAGCCCAGCACTGTAGCTATCGGCATGAACGATGCCTTTCAGTCACCGAGGCAAGGGGAGCTGTACTTGGCATGTCCTTCTCACGTAGGTAGAGAAAGTGACACTCTATGAAGCTTCCATTTGGAAGGGAGAAACACCAAGTTGGCTCAGCAGAGGGTTATACAGAGCAATCACATAGGGGCACACAGAACAATCACATAGGGTACACGGAGCAATCACATGGAGGTGCATGGGGGAATCACATAGGGGTGCACGGGACAATCACATGGGGTACACGGGGCAATCACATGGGGGTGAACAGAGCAATCTCATGGGGTACACAGGGCAATCACATAGGGGTACTTGGAGCAGTCACATGGGGTACATGGAGCAATCACATAGGGGTACACGGAGCAGTCACATGGGGTACATGGAACAATCACATGGGGTACATGGGGCAATCACATGGGGTGCACAGGACAATCACAGGGGTGCACGGAGCAGTCACATGGGGTACACAGAGCAGTCACAGAACACCTGATTTCTCATGAGGCCAGATAGGGTTGGTGTGAAGAATGTACACCTCTT